CCTGGCCCGCCGTGTGGCCGGTGGCAGGGACCCGGGAGCCCCCGCCTCGTGCCCGCTCCAGGCCCCTCCCCTCCTTTCCTGCCCAACCCCAGCGGCCCAGCGCAGTGAAGTCGGGGGCCTCCGCCTCCCAGCACGTCCCCCCAGGGCGCCCGCACCTCTGCTTCTCCCAGAACAGGTCAGGTGACGCTGGGCTGTGCGTGTGGAAACCACCCCCAGGCTCGTGTTTCATTTTTCGCTATTTGTGCATGCAGAGCTGGGGCACAGGGCAGAGGGGGCTGGAGTGGGAGGATCCACCAGAGCCAGTGGGGAGCAGAACGGGCGGATCCACGGAAACCACTGTGAGGGGAGCCACGGGGAGACAGGAGGGGTCCGCCGCGCCCTGTGGGTCACTCCCTGGCCGGGGATGGACGCCGGCCGCAGTTGCCGCACTCGCTCCGTAGCGCCGAGTCTCACCCCTGCACCCAGAGCAGCCCCGGTTGTTACACCGGCCTTTCCGACACCCCGCGGGGAGCCAGAGGCTGCAGAGACACGGGCTTGCCGTGGCCTTGCGGGCGCGTCCTTGCTGCCCGCCCCCTGCACCAGCTCACGCGGCCCTGCTGCTGCACACCCACGGCGCCAGCCTCGGGCAGGGGTCGGCGTCAGACTCGGACACGGCATCTGGGCCCACGCCCCTCCGCCAGAGACTGTCCGGTCAGCTGGCGGGCGCCGTCTCCGCACCCGTGGCCGCGTGGAGCCTGAGCCGAGAGGCCGGGTCGGCGTTGCAGCCCGGCCGTGACCGCCAGGACCACCTGCCCCCCGTGGGCTTTAGAATGGGCCTTCCGCTGACCGCCCGAACCTCGCGTGCGGCAAGGGGAGGAGACGGGCCGCTGCATGTCCCGAGGCTGGCTGCTCGGCTCCGCAAGCGGGCTGAGAAGCTGCCCAGGGAGGGAGAGGGCGCACCAAGCACAGGCCGGGGGGTCCGGCACCTCGCCATCTGGGCAATGCCAGCTAAGAAGGGGGGCTCCCCCGGGAGGGGCAGGGCTCCCGCCCCCGGGCGCCAGTGTGCTGGCCGGACAAGCCGTGCGCTCAGACGGGCCCTGATGGCTGCTTTTGTCCTCCCCGTTGCAAGGAAACAAACCTTGTTTTAGCAGTGAGTCCTAAACTCGCTTCTCTGCTGGGCACCGTGCCTTAACTCTCTGTCTGTTGACTGAGACCCCGGCCGCTGCCAGGCGGCCCGCTCTTGCTCTCGGGGGAGCCCCCAAGCCGGAGGTGGGGGCGAGCAGGCAGCGTCCTCTGGCTTTGGTGAGGGGCTCTCCCCCCCCGCCGGCACCCTGGGAACCCGTACTCACCTGGACATGGGTTGCCGTTCCGCCTTCCAGAGGAAGTGCCTGGTGGCCTGAAACTTCTCAGCCTGTGGGGAGGGTGCTTTGGGGGCCAGGAGGCGAACTGGGGAGTCACGCAGGTCACCCAGATCGAGCGCCTTTATGGAATGTGGGAGCCCAGAGGGGAAAGCGAGACAGCAGTGGGCGGGCGATGACCAGCGGCAGAAACAATGCTCTGGGGACTCTGCTCGGCCTCACTGCTTCTCCCCCGGGGTGCAGGAGCTGGTCAGGCTGACCATCGAAAAGCAGGGGCGTCCGTCTCCAACCAGCCCGGTGAAGACCAGCCCCCCCGCCTGCAAACCCGACGGGTGAGTGCTGACTGTCCCGTGTGACCAGGATGCGCGCGAGGTCTCCAGATGCACACCTGTGCCCGCCCCAGCAGCCCCTCGCAGGGTGGCCAGAGCCCGCAGGGCTGGGCTGCGGGCGCTCGCCCGGGGCACGTCTTTAGCAAGGAGTGGCCGCACAGCTGTCGGGGCTCGCCGCGGTCACACTGCAGCCCCCGCCAGGCCAGGACCGCAGCAGGGCAGTGGGGCCTGAGGGCAGGAGCTGAGGGCAGGGCCAGGGGCACAGGTGACCCCACCAGATGGGGCGCCCCCACTCTGCCAGGGGCCCCGCTCACTCCTCACCCGTCACCCCTCGCCCTGTGTGCCGGGTAATCCTAAGTTCTTTCCAATTCCGCAGCCAGTCTGAGCTCCCCCTGACAGATCGAGAGAGAGAGATTCTCAGCAAGACCACTGGCCTGCAGCCCACTGAGCTCCCGGACTTGGCAGATGATGAGGTGGCGCCCCCCAAGCCACCCTTACCCGGCATCCGAGTGGTTGACCACAGGTAGTGCCTGTCCCTGAGCGCTCCTGCGTGGGTGGGCGCCGGAGGAGCAGAGGGCCTCGCACCGCGTGGGCAGCGGGGGAGGGCGAGAGCTCGCAGCCCGGTGGGAGCCGGAGCCCGGCCCGGCCCCGCCGGCCGCGCGCCCACCCTGGGAGGGAAGCCCAGGCGCGTGTGCCCGAGCCTCTTGGCCCCGTGGCTTTCATTTTGGCGAAGGGCAGGGGGCCGCGCCGGGGGTGGGGCCCTCGGCCGGGCGCGCAGCCGCATGGACCCCGCGGCCTTCGGAGTGAGTGCCGGTGCTCTGGCCTGAGGGGTGTTCCGATCTGCCGCAGCCCCCCACCCGCGCTGCCACCGAAGAAGAGGCAGTCGGCCCCCTCCCCCACGCGGGTGGCCGTCGTGGCGCCCATGAGCCGAGCCACCAGCGGCTCCAGCCTGCCCGTGGGGATCAATAGGCAGGTAAAGCAGCGGTCTGCAGAGCTGGGGCGCCGGGTGGGGCTTGGACTCCTGAGGGCGGAGCGGCCCAGGGCGGTGGGGGTTGGGCGCACTGTTCCCTGGGGGCGGGGCAGCGGCTCTGGGGG